TGGTACAGACATAGAAAGCTCACAATTAATAACAGTGAAAGCGCGATGAATTGACGGAAGGCATTTACTTCAAGTTGGGACGTAATAGCCATAGAAGTAGAAGAATGATAGGTTATACCATAGAACCCCGTTAGCTTAAATTGCAATTAAATGGCATATACAAAACATTAATTTAACTGATACCCCGTACCCCACAGTTTATCAAATTTCAAGTGACCGCCGGTTAAATACAATTTTAACTATTCAAACTTACGGTGTTCTACGGTACTTTACTCTTTACTTTGATTTACTCCTTTTCAAGATTCAAACAGTTCAAAAACTGAATTGTTTAAAATTAATATTAATTGCGATGTTTGGGTATGATATTAATATATAGCTTTTTAATCCTTATTTATGTGGAGGTAAAAGTGTTGTCTGCTTAATAAATTTTAATTCAATTTGGATCGGTGCCAGTTGCAACATAAAATTGATCTCAACAAAAAAATGTCTTTCTTATGATACGAAGAAAAATAAAGCAAATTTTGAAAAGGAATTCTTTCCAATTTACATATCCCCATTAACGATACTACTGGCAAATAGGGGATCATTCAAGTTGTAATAACGGCAACGAACGAATAGTTTTCGACATCAATTGTTATAGTTTCCAGCATGTACACAATACGAGGGAGGACCCAAATAATATTGCACCCAACGAAAGTTCACCCAGCAGCAGCAGCAGCAGCAGCGATTGTGATGCCTTTCCGATCGGCCCTTTTGCCACGGGCGATTCGGAGAAAATAAATTACCATAATGTCCAAAAAGTTTTTTCCTCCATTTCTTCGCTTTCGTAGGGGTGATTTTTTGTGTCCCAAAATTTTCGATTTTTACTATCGAAAGTGCGAGCTCGTGGCCCTGTGCGAAGCGTCTGCAGTGTGTGGACTCATTATGTTTGGAACGAAGTGAGACACGCGTCCCTAATGTGCAGTTCAGTGAATGCAGTAGCAACCAGCAGCGGCATAAAGGTTTATAATAGGATTTTGGAAAAAAAAGAAGAGATTTCGAAAATCAGGAGGGGAAGGAATTTTTGAAAAATTTCTGGTGAGGAGAGGGGAACAAAAAAGCCAATCACTGTGTTTGGATTTTTATAGATTAGATTTTCAAAATTCTATCAGTATCAATTGGGACCTCTTCCGAATCAGTGTGCAACATATAATGACTAGCTGACGGACTACAATCGGTTTTATTTAGAATTTTATTTTATGTTGGTGCCGTAGAAATTGGATATAGTTCGATGGATCGAGAAGAAAGCTCTCAAGTAAGTCAAGTGGAGTATTACCAATAGTACAAGGAAAATGTTACTTCCAGCTTCATCGCCGGTTTTTATGTTCCAAGTTTTCGTGCGCTTCAAAACAAGACGACAATTGCAACGACATTTCGAGAAGATTCCGGTAGATCTTCAACTAAAATCAGTGCGACAAACAATTCGTTGAAGAAAATCCAAGTAAACAACAGTCAAATAAAATCTTAACGAACCGAGCATTGAAAAACATAGCCGCAGTTTTGGAGGGGGGTTATGTTTTCAAATGAAAAACTTTTCCCCATTTTGATAGTGGAAAATATTCAATCACGGTTGCTCTTCATTTATTTTATAACTCCGTTTCGGTTGTTATGAAACTGCAATGGAGAGACGGGCAGGGCTGACACGAGATATGTCTAACGGGCAGTTGTTGGTGGGGTATGTCGTTTTATCTAGCTTGTTTCCGTGAGGGAAGTAGTGATTTGAGCTGGTTGAGTTAGGGTTTGAAATTCCGACAATATACTTCAAATGGTAGATGGGAAATCTATTTTATGTACTATTTAATCATAATTATTTTTCATGGTTTTTATTCCTGCTAGTTGTGTTGTGTTTGTTGTTGTATGTTTTACACACTTAGAAAAATCATGTAAATTTGGGTGCTCTGAGAGTGACATATACAAGCGTCAATTTTGACATAAATTTGAGTCTTTTCCGACGTGAAATATAGCTCAATCAAACGTACTTTTCGTTGAGCAACGATCTTTTCAGTCTCGGAGAACTTAATATTACATGACATGTTTGTTTACATCTCATCTTTTATGTCAAAGATGGATCCAGTTACGTGTAAAATTAGTTATTTTTAAGTGTGTAGTTTTATTTTGCTTGGTTTTAGGTCACTTACACAAATTTCAGTCTAAAACTTAATATTCAACCCAAGGCCTGTATCAAAATAATTTTATTTATTATTTTAGATTAGATCTTTTATTAGATTTTAGATGTTTTAGCATAAAAAGTTTCGTTAAAGCGTGTGCTATCATGGAAAATATTGAATTTAAAATAAAAACGCAACAACCTTCATTTGTATCCTGTATTTGTATTGCAAGTTGAAACACACATATTACAGCAGTTTTACGGTGAAATTTCTCATCTATTTTCTCCTAAGACATGCATAAAACTAAACTTTCGTGGACTTATTCAACCCATTGTGGGAGTACAGGTATTCCCTCAGTAGCTCGGTGAGAAGTGCAGTCCATCAAGAAATATAACCATGAAATAACAAAGAAATATCTATAAAATACAATACATTCTAGTGTTGACAATTAACCCTATTATAATGTGTTGGTAAAACCACCATTAATTGTCTCTGTAGGTTTGCAATACATTTATGTGTTTGCATAATTTTGAACAATAAAAATATATTGCAATATATCGGATAGAACTTCTCAACCATCAATTTCAGCTGCAGAACAGATAATGCTCGCAAATGTTTTTTATGCAGTTAATATCAGGTTTATTTAGCTGTTAAACAGCTAAATTGTATATTGAGTCAATTTGTTCGTGAAATACAAAATGATTTTTTACTGTCCCTGATTTTCTATACCTTGCTTTTCGGTTGTAAAAACAGTACATTCTATTGTATTTCATACGGAAGTTTTTTTATGGGTACTTCGCTTTTTGCTGGCTGTCCTACATCCCATTGAACTGATTTTTATTAATGAGAATGGGACGTTCACCACTTCATGTTCTCATTTTGAATGTGGGGCATGTTAAAATGCTCCTTGTTTCGAAAAAAAACTAAATTGTGACCGGGTTTTTCCTTACCATCACTCAAACTAACTTTCCTAGTGCACGAAATGGAAATGCTTAAATTTGAATTCCGCCTTTTTCATAAATAAATTGAAAAACTACAGTGCTACAGTGCGACATTATGTAACCGTTTAAAATGTGGTTTTTGGATTACTGAACCACTTTTTCAATAAATTAAATTTATATTTACTGGCTCTCGAACTTTGTAAGACAATAAAATTGACACCAAACCGTAATGTCGATGGTTTATTTGTGTTTATATGGCTGGTATTAGACCACATAAATAATACTTGTCTAAGTCGATCATATAATTTGAGCAGTATCAAAATCATTTAGAACTAGAGCTTTGAAATAAAATCATAATTTGAGACAAATTTGACATATCATATGATTTTGGCTGAACGTTATAAGAAACTCTCAATTTTTAGGTTATTATGGTAAATTGTTGCATACATGATGAACATTTTATGATTATTATGATTTTTGTGAGTTCAAATATTGCCACGAAATATATAGTTTTTCTCATTTCTGGACCGAGATATTTGGGTTTTTTGCCATCTTAAAAATGATGTAATTGCACTAAAACAACCTAAATTGAAATCTCAAAAACAATCAATATTAGAATGAACTGTTCATGCCATAAATACGGAGAAATTATTATTTTTTTTTGATTTTTATTAGATTAAAAGTAATTTAATTTATTTGTTGAAATGTTGCAACCAATACAACTGATCTGATGATAGCATTTTTCGGCAATTCGTTCATTCGTCCAAATTTCTGTATGCCGAACCATTCATTCATGATATTTCTGATCCAAACAGTTTTTTTTTTGTGCTGATTGTAAAATAATTTTCCCTAAAAATCGCGTATGGACATTAAAGAAGGCAAGAGCAGGAAAAGTTTCGTTTTAGATGCTTTATGAGTTTTTTTTACTCTGCAGTTCTCTGTGAAGGTTTTGATTTATGGAGCAACACAGCGTGGTAATGATAATTATACTGCCACGAACTGGTCGCATGTGTGAAAGTACTCTATTTAGATAATGTAGATTTCACCTGGAATAACGTGAAATGAAAGGGGTTAGCCTGTCTTCAGGCTTCAAAGTTCAAACATCCGGTAATTATTGACGATTCGTGAGGTGTAGTTGGCAGCGTTCGACGCGTCCGATTGAGAGCCAAATGCCATCGGGGTGTTTCAAATATTTATGACAATAATTAAATAAAAGGCGGGCAACCATGTTCAGTGAAACATGTCACCTCGCACAGGAAGCACCGTCACGGCGACGTGTGGCAATTGACTAATCGTCCTGAAACGATAATGCGCTGTCGGTTGTTATATGTATGGGTAAGCGTATGGCGTCAGCAATGGCTAAGTGCCAGTTTCGATAGCTACTAACGAAATATGTGGACGTATTTTTATCTATGCCGAAAAAATGAAATAAAAATCGAAAAATGTTTATCTTTCCGCTGGTTGTCACCCTCTCTTTCCCTGCCACTCCTGGATATATACCTTAGGTGTATTTTATTGGTACCCGAGTTGAAATGGAATAGGAGCGGCCATAAAAATATAAGCCTTGAAGAAAGGAAAATGCCCAAAATAAAATATTTTTATTCACCAACTGGAGTCGTCCTTCGGTGGAGCTTTATTTGGTGTTTTTAATTAAATTAAGCACTTTGCAGTTTGGCAGCCATCAGGATAGGACGGAAGCGATCGATAATGGCAACCTTCAAATTCGATGAAATTTTTATGGTTCGGTTTCGTTGTAATCTACACGGTGAAGGCTTCGTTGCCGAAGTAATTCGATGACTTTTGTAGATTGGGTTGCAATATCGTTTCGCTATGTTGTCAAAAAAATGTGTTTACCTTTCTTCTAAATTGTATTTTGTTATCTTTTCTCTTTAAATTACAGAACACAATAAAAATGGCAGCCTCTGTCTACGCAACACCACCACCGGATTTCAGTAGCGAAGAAGCGGCTATGAGTGACACTTCCAACTCATCGCATACAAACAGTTCAAATAACTCCACTATGAAGGCAACGAAACGGTCACTGGCTTCGGCCTTTCTTAACTCCCCACAGGCCATCAATACTGCCACCCAGCTCAGTTCAGACAGCATCCCGGATCTATCGAAGAAGCGCCGTAAACAGCCCATGCCAAGCCGTATTTCAGCAAATGGTACGGAAGAAAATACATCCATTACTGCTGGCAACACTGAAGTAATGGATGAAAACGAAGATGCTGAAACAACTGCCATTGAATCAATTGCGAATGCTTTCGCAGAACAGCAGAGTAACTTCCAGAAAATATTTTTGTCCAATCTGAGTCAATTACAAAAGCAGCACCTGCTGCAACAGCAGCTGGACGATCAACTGGATGAATCTGCCGCTGAAGAACGACTTCAAAATGGGTCTAATCCATTAATTTCCATCAAAAGTCGGGAAAGTTTATTTGATATGCCACAAATCACGAAAGAATTGGAAAATGTTAAAACGGAGCGTAAAGACGGGAGCGAAGCAAACTCAAATGAATCTATGAAAGATCAAAACGAAAATGATCGTAAGAGTCCCGATTATGACAATGAAGCTATGAAAAACAATAATGACGAATATAATAAATTTACTGAAAAATCTGACGATAGTAAAAGCAAACCAACAGATGAAGACCAGAACAGCGATCAGATGCGGGTATGTTCTGAGTTGAACTTTAAGAAAGAATTGCTCCACGACTCTGACTGGGATGGTGAAATTCGTTGCTCATCGACGAACGTTTCCAAAGCGGACGATTGGTTATCCATACCAGGTTTGCCATTTCCATTTTCACCAGAAGCTGCTGCGGCACTTTCCGCATCCGGCTATATGCCTCAGCTTCCGTTACTTGGAATGCCATCAGCATCGTCTTACGGATCGACTGATAGCTCAAACCGGCCTAATGTACCACCGTTAAGAATCTTCAACCCGGAAGCCTTTTGCGGTCTCTGCAATAAGGAATTCTGCAACAAATACTTCCTGAAGACGCACAAGGCCAACAAACACGGAATCTACGAACCGCAAAGCGGCAGTAACGATTCTCTACCGAACGTTGGCTCGTTTAATCCTCTTCATCAGCTCTCACAAGTGTTCCAACTACAACATCAACAGCAGCAGCAGCAGCAGCATCAACAGCAACAACAACAACAACAACAACAACAGCAGCAAGCAGCCCTTCAGGAGCAGCAGGACAAGGCAGCCCAAAATCAGCCAACCAATTCGGAAGGCACATCTCCGCAACAACCTCCTCCGATGCGTCCAGCTGTGTCCCCTCAGCTGCCAATGAATTCAATTCAACCGACAGTGTTTTGTGATATCTGTTTCAAAAAGTTCAGCACTCTTAGTGCGATGCGCAAACATCGCAGTAAAGCTCACGATCTCTCCAACACCCAACAACATCATCAGCAGCAGCAACTTCAGCAAGGATCAGATCTTAGCTTGGAGGCTCCATCACCATCCAATGCTGAACGTATGACTCCAACTGCGATGCAATTCCGTCTTCCGGATGGATTTCGTGAGGATTACTCAGTGGAGCAAGAGGATGCGTCCTTCACTCCGCAACCACGTAAGCTGTCTCCTCTCTCGATTCAAGCCGCTCGTGAAGCGAACTTTTCCGTTGATAAATTGAAGCGGTTGGGAGTGATCAATCCGGAAGCATTTTGTGAGATATGCTGTAAGGAATACTGCAACAAGTACTTTCTGCGTACCCACAAGTTGAAGAGGCATGGAATATTCATGCCACCGGATGAGGTGAAGGAGGATCGCAGTCCTTGGAATTTCGTTCAGACAAGCCCCTTAAATCTGATTGTGGGAGGTGCGGAGAATCCTGGACTTCCACCGCCGTTAAAGAAACTCAGTGAACGGGTGCGCGATGAAGACCTGTTGAAAGCAACTGCGTTGAAGGAAGAACTACTGAAGAATGTCGATACCAAAGGTGGAGATGATGAGCCAGGGGAGGAACTTGGCGATAAGGAAGGATCAGCATGTGTCGATCAAGATGGCGAACCTATTAGTGTGGACTTGCAGAAGCTACAGTCGATGATCATGCAGCTGAGTGATTTGAATAATCAACGAAAAATGTCCTGCGGTATATGCGGAAAGGAGATGGAGAATCAGTACTTGCTACATACCCACATGATTCAGGAGCATAACAATATGAACGAAAACAACAATGGACTCAAGTCACCAGTAAATATAGCCCCTATGCCAACATCACCAAATGAGTTTGAAATGTGCAAGCAGTGCGACAAGGAGTTTTCCAACGCGTTCATGTTGAAGCAACACTTGATGGAAGTGCATGGATCTCAGAATGGCAGCCCGAAAAGGGAAGGTTTCGTAACGCCGGATCGACCAACGACTTCAGCCAGTATAAATATGCCATCCGGGCCGAGTTACGCCGAGAGGAAGCCCACATTTTCGATGACACCGACCAGCAGTTATTGCGAAATTTGTAACAAAGAATTGTGCAACAAGTATTTCATGAAAACTCACATGCAAAGAATGCACGGCATCGAAATTGAAAATGGTGCTCAAATCGGTGGAGTCGTGTGCAATATTTGTAATAAAGAGCTGTGCAGTAAGTACTTTCTACGTGTTCATAAACATAACACGCATGGAATTGTGGAGGAAGGTGCTCCTCTGCCACAGCCTAGAAACAATGGTGAACCGACTGAGAATTCAGAGTCCCAATTTTCCGTTGATAGTGTGCTGAAACCAGGGGAGATAACGGACGTAAGCAACCGATACTATTCACATTTTACTGAGGTGTGCCCTTTGTGCAGCCGAAGATTCCGCAGTGCTAAGTGGCTGAGGGCACATTTGCTCAGTGATCATGGAAAAATGGGAGTTGACAAGCTTCGCGAGATCGAACACAAGCTGGGAGGGGGAAGTAAGTCTAATAGCCCTTCGCTGAAGATTCCGAATGGTGGTATGAACGTGAATTCTGCTGAGCAGAAATTCAATCCCAAGGTTGCTTTCGGCTTCAATTCTCCAGATGCAAAATTTTTGATGAAAAATCCATTCACTGGACTATTTGGTGCAGATCCTACCAACTCCAACCTCGGGCCAAAGGGTTACCAATGTTCGTACTGCCCGTTTGCAACTCCATTACTTCCATTGCTATTCATCCACGAGAGAACACACACCAGTTTGAGTATCGTACAGCAGCAGCTGCTGCAGGAAGAGGAGAAACATCAAATTCAACTACCTCCGTTGCATTTGCCAACCATCAAATCGGAATTGGCCGTTTCTTTAGCCAAAGATAAGGATTGCTTTTCACTGCCAACATCGGTTTCAACATCGGAGACTCCATCACTGACACCGGCTTCAACTCCGGTACCCTCGATGTCACAGGATGCAATGCAGAGCTCTTCTCTACAGCAGGAACCACCATCGCAGCAATCTCCGACACGGGAATCGCCCCGTATCCAGGAATCACCAAAATCCACCTCACCCAAATCCGAACCAAACACCATACTGTCGGAAATGGCCAATCTCACCCAACGACCGGCCGTTTATGCCCTACCCCAGCAGAGTGGACCACTACTGATGCAGTCGTTCCTGATTGAGGAATCAGCTGCTTCTAGCTCCTCTAGCAAGGCTGGAGAGGCACACCCATTGGCAAACAGGTTTGTACCAGCTGTTGTTTTCCTACCTGTTAAGGAGCGTATCCTTTCTCCGATGACAATATCGTTCACGCTTAGCCCTGCCTAGGGAAAGGATTCTCGAATAATGGCAGCATAATGGCTTTTGTTCGCCGTTTTTCAGTTCTCATTACTCTCAGGGAGAATTGAAAGAACCGAGGAGCATCTGCAGGAGCTCGGTTCTAAAATAATGCTTAGTGGTAGGTAAAGATACGAGAACAAGAAGACAAAATCCGCAAATACGTACATACATTTATCGCCACGGGAAATGCCGGGTGAATAACACGAAAAAGAAAAGAACACATTAATCCTACTTAGAAGAAGAAACCTAACCGTAAGGAGAAGAAAATCAAAATGTATAAATATTTGATTACTGTAGACGTATCGTTGTGTAGTGTCTATTGAGAAGCATAGGAGGATCGACAGAAGAAATGTAAGTAAGAAGGATTCTGTGCAAATGTGGCGAGAGCAGGCAAACCCATCGGTTACAATATAATTGCAAATTGCATGTGGACGAAGAGAGTGAAAAATTGCACGTACCGAAATGAGAATTAGCGTACACCTTCATGGGTGTCTTTAGTTTGAGAGCACATCCAATTAACAAACTTTTAACAATCTATTTTATTTTGACTCCACATTCGTTGATAAACATTCCACAGATTTATATTCTTGAAAATTGAATTTTCTGATTGAAATAAAAGCAGCCTCGGTTTTGACTATCAATTCGCGCTACAGTATAATCGAAATATTGCTTGATGTAGTAAATTGAGGTAAATTGGCGTAGAATATAATAATAGTAATAAAATCTAGATGACATAGCATACTAAGAATAAGGGATTGACAAGAGAAGAAATTCTTGGTGATGTTCTAACAAAGTTCCTATTATGAGTAAAACTAACAGAAAAGAAAGTATCTCTTCAGGCATGATAGATTTTTTAAGGATATTTACCACTGACACTTGAGCTGATCACAAATTGTGTAATGCTTGCATGTAAGTCTGAGCCATGAAAGACTTAACCAACCGGTAGAATGAGTTTAGTTACCATGCTTTGATTATCTGCTTTCGCCAGTAATTGATGAGTTTTGCTCAACGGGGCACTAACGATACATAAATGAAAATTTTCGTGTCAACTACACTGAATCAAAAGGAACCAAATCAAAACTCAGGGTAATAAAAGTACAAGCAGACAAACGTAATTAATATAACACGGGATGTAAACCATCCCACAAAACTAGTCAAATTTGGATATTACTGTTAACTTATCCTTGGTTACCAATGAAAACAAAAACGATGCCTAAAGTACAATTTTATAGAACACACGGAATCCACAGATGCAAGCATATGCAGTATTTTAATCAACACAAAGTAAAGAAATACCTCAAGCCGATCAAAACGGAAAATATTGGATTTATTTTACAATAAATGGAATGTGAAATCCTTCGGTACGTAATAATACAAAAAAAACTAGTCGTGATTAACAAACTTTAAGAACTGGCATTCTATTGCCACCATATAGATGTAGACTTGTATTTCACTAACCATAATATTGCAACTATGACACAAAACACAAAACGGAAAGTTACCAGTTCAATCAAAACAGAAGAACTATGAATGCTTCTGTAGAATAGAGTTGTACATAGCTACGAACGAGAAGATAATATTTTTATTTCATATTGTCATTTCTAGTCCTTAGAACATTGCTAGTCAAAATCATTGAGCAAACATTTGATCAAGACAAGGAAACCAAGTTTTGTTGAATTCTATTGCTTCCGCCGTTATTCGTAGAATTAACACTTGCAGCATGACAAGCAAATTGAAACAAAGTCAAATCCTATGCACATGACCGAGGCAATAGTGACTGGAGACTCCTCGAAAGGTATCGCAAAGCGATTAATCACACGGAAAGACCCAAACATAAAACGAAAATCAGAACACGTGACTCTTCGGAGAATCGATACCTCGGAACTAGGCGAGAAGTGAAATCGGCGATTGCTATCGAACAATATAAAACTGTAAAACGCTGTGTGCCTTTTAGCAATTGCTGACAAGATAAGAAGAGAATGAAAAGAATCAATAAAACTGCTGCTACTGTGAGAGTAATCGAGTTACACTCACCGATAGAGGAAACAAATGAGATAGAAGTGAACCGAAACCTCGTTAGTTGATTTCCTTTAATTATTAATATTTCATATATTTGTAATGTATTCAATTCGGGTGATATATGAAGTGTTATAATTAAATACTGACAGCAGAGAAGAAGTTGTTAATAAAAAATACAAGCAGAAGTGAACTCTGGAAAAATACAATGGAGTATAGATATGTTTCATTCAGAACACCATCACAAAAATAGGAGATCATAGAAACAAACCAAATCAAACAAGAACAAATGGATCAGTACTACATAGATTCAATCTCTGGCGCTTGATTGAACATCCTAAACGAAACGACTACTGAGAAGACACCTACATCTACGTCTTGACTGAATCATCAGTTGAAGATAACCCGTCATCGATGACATCCGGCCTCAGAAGCATATTACCATAATTAGAACCGCGTTAGCGAATTGTTCCAACTGTCATTGCATCGCGGCGGGGTTCTATCTGTCGTCTCCCATTCATTATTCCGGCGTATAATTTACGAATGTAAAAGGAAGTTATGCCATCAAATACTGAGGGTACTTTCGTTTAGCTCACCGTTCCTATTTCTCTCTCTCACTCTCTATAAAATTGGAAAAGAGTGTGCTCCTTCTATCTGGGGGTGTGGACCGCCAGGTGTCGAGGGGGTTGGCCTCAGTTGCTCAATGGTTGCGTGATTTCAACGGCTTGTAATGTGTCGAAAGGATACTTTTCATGCTCACACCACATGGCGGACGGCCGCGCTAAGACGAAACCATTTGCTCACGCAGCGTAATCTTGATCTAGCAATTACCGACCGAAACGATGACTTCTGCTAACATTTGTCAAAGTGGAAGGTATGTTGGTGGTGGCTTTCTAGATGACTGTCGAGAAGAGGGCCTTCATTGAGGATTGATTTGGATTTCAAACTTTGAAGTAGACACGAGCTCAATGCAGCAAAGCGTCAATCCGTCATAAATGACTACACATTTAAGTCGAATCAAATTTCATGTATCTTGGTATCTTTAAACACCGTGTTGCTCCATTAGGCTGTTCTTAATTATGCAGATTCACTATATCATAACGTCTCACAGTTCATAACATTTTCCTTTCTTCATGCACGCAGCAAAACAACTAACAGCTGGGCACGGTTTCCATTCAACACCTCATTCGCATGCAAACTGTGCTGAAAACGGGCGCAACAGAGCACAAGCATAAGTGGGAGGCGTCGTCGGTGGGTGTGAAAATCTCCAAAATGTTAGTGTCATAAAATGAAGCGATTATCTGCTGCTACAAATGATTTAATTAAATCAAGTATGCAAAACAGATTTCTTCGCCATAATCTGCGTCTCACGTTGCTTCTCTTCCCATTTGGATCTCTTCTCCCTGCCACTTCCCACCCAACCAACAGATCCGATGTGATAGCAGCAGCAGCAGCAGTAGCAACAACAACAGCGACAGAGTAGGGAGAGCCTTTCGCTGCGACCATGCAAACAATCATCGATAGCATCATCGTCGTCGTCGCTGTCGTCATTATCGTCGATGGTTTCCATACCCTTACAACCGGTGCTTGCTGCTACTACTAGCTTTCCTCTTGGCCACGCCACGATTTTGCTTGAAGACGGCGTCCTTTCCGTTTCAGACTATGCTTGGGGATTGTAGCGGCAGCGACGGCAAAACGTTTAACACCGCATTGCCGCCACCGACCGTCATCATCATCATTGTTGTTATCGTCGTCGTCGTCGGCGTCGGCGTCGCGCGTTCCATTCAATGGGTCTATGTTTTATGCTTTTTTGTGTACTCTTGCTCACAGGAAATGGTTTGGACTCGAGGCTGAGGATTGCTAGGATCTCACGTTCTTCACATCTCCGATCACACGACACTAGGCTGATGCACATAATCAGAGCTGCGTCTGGCAGTGAATGCGGAATGGCCTAAATGATGAAGCGATTGGCCAATGAACTTGAATCATAATGTTGCCTATGATCATTTGTTTGAGCAACAGTTGCATACCACGAATCACCTATGGATCAGGTTTGAAAAATTTGGCTGCGAATATCGCTTCAAAGGATAGCGGCGCCGGTAGTGTAGTAGTAGGCGTGATTACCTCTCACCCCAGCAGGCCTGGGTTCAATCCCAGTCGGCGCCGCCGGGATTTTCTGAGGCATAACAACTCTGATCACGCTTTCCTTCGGAAGGGAAGTAAAGCCGTTGGTCCCCGGTTCATGAGTTGATGGGTCGATAGGTAGGGTCCAGGTGTGGGGCTGCCTCCCTGGCGTCGGTAGTATTGGTGCTCAGCACGGAAGACAAGATCGACGGAAAAAAAATCAAGGAAAAAAAAACCATTGAATGGGATTTCCGTCTTTTTCAACAACTCCTGCACCAAATTGTTTGCAACAATTACCGAATGATCAGGTGCTGCCAAGCACTTGTCTCATCTTATATTGGAGGTTTATTAAGGTATATGTGAGATATTCGGGTTTAAATCAAGAATAATTTCACACCAAATCGACCAATACTTGGCAGCACCTTATCAGATTCCAATCAAACTCTGTGGATGTAAAGATTTCGTCAACTTTGCAGACTTGCTTTCTTTAAAAAAAATACTTCCATTTGAAAAGGGCTGATTCTTTTTTACAATTGTTTTATAAAAAAAAATATAACTCAAAAATGATCTTGGTCTTGTCCAAGAGTGAATTGCAGACAATTGTATTTTCTTTTTTAAAATATATAAATATATATAGGCATAAAATTCAATTCCTACACTGAAAAAAAATCAATTGATTTGACAAATTCTCAATGACATTATTTATGAAAATTATGAAATTTTGTGTATGAAAAGCAGCTCAGTTATCTACAAGTAGTCCATACATTGCATGATGGGTACTTATACTGAAAAAAAAAAATTATATACTTTTTCAACTTTATTGTGTTCGCAACTTTGTACATCATTGA